TATGACACAGTTAGGATCTAGAATCTCGTGTGTAGTTGACCTGGAATTACAAGAATTGGGATGAGAAGTCTTAGTAATGTGAGCGGTTGTGATTGTTGATGTATTCCGGGCTCGCGCCGGTGAAGTTTGTGTAGTCACCGGGGTGGGTCTGAGGAGATGAGATATTGTGATTGTTGATGTATTCCGGGCTCGCGCCGGTAAAGTTTGTGTAGTCACCGGGGTGGGTCTGAGGAGATGAGATATTGTGATTGTTGATGTATTCTGGGCTCGCGCCGGTGAAGTTTGTGTAGTCACCGGGGTGGGTTTGAGGAGTTGGGATATTTGTGAATTGCGATTAGTCAGTTACCCGAGGATATGAGTGTTGGCTCTGTGTGAGATAGGGACCAGTGAGTTGTGATAGGATGGCTAGTTGTTTTCTTTTCATACATAGATCGGGATTAATATTTAATTATCTATAATTTGAGACATATAGTATATACATGAGGGTTTCCTTGTTTGGATTATTTCGCTCGACGTACTACGTCTCTTATTATAGATTTTTAAGTATTAATTCCATCTATTGTATGACCTTGTTGCTTGGATGATTTCTGATCGCTACCTACATGATCTTGTTACTCGGTTGATTTTTGGATTCATCTGATTATTAGTATTCTAGTTGCACGCCTCTATTGTTATTACTATCATCACATGTTCTATTTTTATTTTTGTTATCACATTGACCACGCATATATTATCATTATCGTTATTGTGTTTGTTCTTGCCTTGGGGGATCTTGCCGTGTGTTTTACACGCTTTCGTACTCCTATTTTCTGGGTGTACGTCAGATTTAGGAGATGTACAGCCTCAGTTCGGGATAGTACAAGAGCCAGAGGATTTGCAGCAGCGAGGTCTTCCAGATGGATCAGAAGAACAATATGAAGCTTAGACTTTTCTTTATGTAGTAGTTGATAAGCGCTAGATCTCTTTTGCAGAACCTTACTTTAGTCTGATATTGGATTTAGTTATTTTAGCAGTACTTTCCTTTATTTTTGTTGGATTATGTATTTTTATATTTTTAGTTGGACCGTTTTGTAATAAGGGCGTGTTTGACCCATATGTTTAGGTCTGGGATGATTTACCATTGATGATATATCTATTTCTTATTCTGGGTTGTCATTATATTCTTGCTATGTGTGATCGGGGACCTGTGACTTCGTATATTATATTTTTGACGCTTAGCGTATTGGATTGAGAAGAAAAGAAAAAAAATAATAGTGTATATTTCTTCTCAATCTAATACGCCGCAGACTTGTTCACGTTCCGATTCCTGAGTATTTTGGGAAGCGGGGCGTGACAGTCGATTGGTGACAAATGACGAGTGCACAGGTAAGTACAAAGGAGAGTCATTATACAACTCTACATTTAAACTGTTGATCCCATCACTAGACTTTAAACAAGAAAAATAAGCAAAGTTGAGATTTTTATTCAAAATAAACCCGTTCGCTATATCAGCGTCGGTGAAAGCAAGGCTTTCATAGCTAATTACAATGGGTTCAATATCGTTAAAGACAAGACTCTCATCATTCTCGGTCTCACTATCAGCCTCATTGCTACTGCTAGGCTCATTGGCCGGAGGCTCATCACCTGACTCGGGGTCTTGGTAGAGCAGAGAATCGGTGAAGTAATTTTCAACCCCCTGAAGGGCTACTTATCAGCAATCACCGTCTTTACTTGATCACCGTCGTCCACATATTTCAAGCACTGATGCAATGTGGATGAGACTATCCTGTTGCTATGGATCCATGGTCGGCCCAACAACATGTTGTATGAGGGTTCTGCGTCAATGACATAGCAGGTCACCTCAGTTTTCATATCACCCAGTCAAAACTTGAGGCGAATCTTCCCAAGCGGCTGGTTTCCAGTGGCGTTGAAGCCAAAAATTACAGTGGTGCTTACGGACAACCGCTTTTGAGGTATCCCCAAGTGCTTGATGAGCTTTAGGGGGACAATGCTTAGTGCAGACGCTGGATCCACTTGAATACGATCCACTCGGGAGGAACCGACGTATCCTGTGAAGTACAGCGGTTGGTCGTGAGTTATGCTTTTGATGAGCATGTCCTCTGGAGTGAAAGTGATACAGGGGATCTGCTGTTTGGATGTTTGACAGCATTGTGGGCATCCTATTCCAGCCTCCTCTTCGGGAGTGGGTAAGAAATGCGTGGCAAAGGCTTCTGAATCAGTCAGCACCTCTCGCAGGGTCTCGTGAGTCATCCTGGACAATTGTAGGAGCTCATACAGGATAATCCTGGTTGAAATATTTTTCAACTGCGCGAGTAGGTCAAACCGGAAAGGTTGACCACTTGAACTCGGCTTATCAGGACTTGGCTGAACTGTCGGTGACAGCCTTGCTGGTAGCCTAGCTGGATTCTCTATAGGCGGATGGTAGTTCTTGGCAAAGTCCTTTCCTGTTCGGGTGATCAATGCGTCTTCCTTCTCGTCAGAATCGGTGAGGGTCACTACCTCCGCTTTGTTATCGTCCGGAATTACCGAAATAACATTATAAGGCTTAGATTTGCCCTTGGACTTGTTGGAAGTCCATTGCTCGTCGTCGAGGAGATCAGGATGAACCCACATTACCTATCGTGATGGTAGGGTTTGTGGTACCAAGCCTTTTCTTCGTTGATTGTGAGGGTCGTCATTGACAATCTTCAGTTTTGCCTTGGGGACGGGCATGACTCCTGCTGGTGTACGAACCTCAGGGAGACCCGTTCCGAATTGAAGGGTGACCATGTTTGTAGTTACTATTTTCTATACCTTTTCCTTCTTCAGGACCCCTGCGTCATAAAGAGCTTGCAATTTATCCTTAAGGATATAGCATCTGGAGGTGTGATGACCAACGAATCTATAGTATGCACAGAACTGCAGATCATCGGTCTTGTTCATGTCTTCAGGTTTCGTGACTCTCGGTAATTTGATCCTGTTACTCTTGAGAAGAGTGTTGAAGGTAGCCACTACCTAGTCCTCCGTAAAGTCGTATTGCCTTTGCGGGCGCTGCTCGAAGGTTGTGGACTTCGGGCGCTGAGCTGATTTGGGGGCTGGAGTGGAATCGACATCCATGATCTCCTTCCCTCTTGACCGAGGGTTCCGAGAGGTGTTTGGTTCTGAAGCTCTGTTCTTGGGCTGAGGTTATTCGGCTTCTAATCTTTTGATCATATTTTTGACTTGCTCGCCTTGGCGATTAAGCTCCTTCCAAGTTCGGGTTTCCACTGCGTCGATTCTGAACAAAATATTGATTGAGAGGTTGTTACAGCACATCTCAACTAGGGTGCTCAAGGAGACTTGGTCCTGAAACTAGATTGATCGATTCCTGAATCTTTTGACAAAATCATTGACCGACTCCTCTTCTTTTGTTTGTCGGCCAGTAGGGTGGCCATCAATACTTCTGTATCGTCAACGAAGAAATGAGCCAAGAAAAGTCTTTCTGCGTCGGCCCATGTTGTGATAGAGCCTGGTTCCAGGTTATGAAACCATTCAAAGGCCACCCCTCTCAGGGTACTAATGAACAGTCGGGTGAGAATGTGATTGTTTCCCTTGAGGAATCCCGTCTGAGACAGGAAATAGTAGATGTATTGTGAGGGAGAGCCTTTGCCATCAAACTGGACCAGGCTCATTGGTTTGAACTTTGTCGAGTAGGTGACCATGTCCCATTTGACTGGATACGATCGAACCACCCCTAACTCGTTCATGTATTTCTGGAGCTTCAAGGCATTGGGCTGACTCTGGAACTCATCGAATCTTTTGTCTCGGGGAGTGCTGCCCGAATGCGAGCGTCTTCCTGAGGATTTGTTAGAATAATCCGAAGGTAGTTCACAATTATCCTCTTCCCCAATTGTGTGTGGAGTAAGCTCACGCTCCTTGTTTCTTGAGGGTCTTCGCCGGTTTCGCGAACTCCTCTTCTTCCTTTTCTCACTGAGAATTTTCTCTATCATCTCCTTTAGAGAGCTGATGGTTGCTTGCTGTTCTTCAACCTTTTTGGCTAAGTCATCGGATGTCTCCACCATGTTCACCCTCGCGTGCTTGCCATAAGCTGAGTTTGAGGTTCGAGATGTCGCTGCTGCCGAGCACACCTCATCCTCGTTGTCATCATAGATAAGCGTCAAACGAGCATAGTCGAAAGGGATGGTCGCCCCTGTTTGAAGGTGAGTATGTCGATATACACCCTCGTCTTCAGTAGGGAGCCATCTGAATCCCGGGGTATATTCATGATCTGATGATTCTGAGTACCAGGATTTACTTTTCCCTGCCATATTGATTGTAGATGTCGGGAACTCTGAATCGTCAATGGCCCGCTTCTTCTATCGGTTGCGTCTTCGGCGAGAATGTCTTGGCTCCGGGGCCTGTTGGGAAAGCCTCTCGAACGCTAATAGTTTTGGCATCTCGGAACATTGGCAATCCGCCAGTACTTCCTAGATGAACCTTTCGCAATGGCACTGAGAATTTGCCTCGTGAATAGTGTATTTACGAGTTAGATAATCCCTGAGATCCCTCGTAAGTTGGTGGTAGCTACCCCCAGCATCGGCAGGACCGAGTGTGCAATTGTATGATGGGGACTCAAAGGAATCAGCATGTGAACACTTGGGAAATTTCCCAAGTGTTGAATTTATGCAACCTTGCCTTGACAGGCAAGGTCTAGAGTTCGGGCGAGCTCCAGCCAGCTACCGGTGAGCTCGAGCCGTCTGTTCGTTCAGGCAAAGTTCGCTCGCTTGAGCTGCTTGGGCCTTGCTTTTTTGGCTAAGGCTTGGTTTTAGGCGGGCCCGGTAGGCTTCGCCTGTTGTGCGAGGCTCGCCCGCTTGAGGGCGTAGCTTGCCTGCTGTGCGAAACTCGCCTGTTTGAAAGCATAGCTCACCTGCTGTGCGAAGCTCGCCTGCTTGAAGGCGTATTTCGCCTACTTTGGAGATATGGCTTGGAGAGCGAAGCCCGCCTGATTTGGTGGGCTCGCCTATCTTGCTAAGTTCGCCTGAATGGGGAACTACGCTCATGAAGTGAGGCTTGCCTGTATGAACAGGTTCGCCTGAAATGCAAAGCTCGCCCGCTTTGGGAACTTGGCCAATGGGACGAAGTCCGCTCGAGTAGGGGGGCTCGCCTGCTTAGCTCAGTTCTCCATAACTAAGAACTTGACGTTCTTGTTTGGCTCTTCTTAGCCCTGAATAGTAGTTCAGGTCATCGTAGGACATGAAGGTTTGGGCCGCTTGGCGAGCGAGAGCTTGTCGTCGTCGTCGTTGGGCTCTTCTGGAGAGGGGGAGACTCATGTTGACGGCGAAGGTGTGTTCTGTGCCGACACGTACTACAGTCTCCTCTTGCACGGGGGACCGAGTGGGTTGCTTAGGAACCCAACGAGCAGTCCTTCGGTTCGCTTGCTTGGCTTTCTGCTCAGCCTTAGCTGGCTTGGGAGGAATAGAACTCCCTGTTTTAGCTCGGGTAGAGCTCTCAGGCGTGGTTACCTCGACCACTTGGGGTTGGGTCACACGCGTGACTCTTTAGCGTTTGCGCGATGCATGGCTACCAGAGGAGTAAGAAGACAAGTATTCTTCATATTCGGCTTGGTCGAACTCGATCATAAGAGACTCAACAGTTGTCCCTTCCGTAACTTTGTCGAACTGCGCCACCACCAATTCATCTGATTGAACGATATCTCCTACTGTGGTCATCATCTTCTGTAGGTGTAAAAATTCGATCTCCCGCTTGAGGGGTCGTTTGTATTTATAAGAATGGCTTATTACAAACTAATAATCAAATTTTTACAACAGAAACGGAGGGAATGACCCTCCTTGTTTAACATGGGTTCGTTGGCAGCGGTAGGACGCCTTCCTCGGTGCTCGCGTCGAATTTGATTCCCTTGGAAGATCCGATCGAAGTTACGGTTGAGCTTTAGTACGCAACAGAAGCCCTTAGTATGATCGAGTTCGAGTCTACCCGAGCTTGAAAGACTATCAAGGCCGAAAGCTTTGAATGAGCTATGATGCAAGAGTTTACAAAGAGCTTAAGAGCCTCCAATCTGAAAGTTCAGATGAGTCTACTTCAACAATTCAAGCAAGGAGCTAAAAATGTTCTCACAAGCAAGCCAATGAGAAGTCTCTGTTTGAAGAGCTCTCCCCAAGTCTCCTGAATGAAATATGCCAAGCCTCAAGTCTCTCGTTCCAAGAAGCTTGAAAATAGAAATGCCCAGCCCCTAGAAATATTGCCAGCCTCTTGAACGTTGGTCAAGGAGGCTTATAAACAGGCAAGGGATGACATGAGCCATCCCTTGATTTGTGGGATGTGACCACCTATGGGTGAGGAGCTTCATGCCCTCCCCTAGCTGTGGGATGTGACTACTATAGGGGTCATCATCACCTAGAACATGGGTAGTGAGTAGGCCCACTCTCACAATCGAGCCGCCGCCTGCACTGTTTAGGTGAGGCTGTGCTCGTGCTGGCTCACAATCGAGCCGCCGCCTGCACTGTTTAGGTGAGGCTGTGCTCGTGCTGGCGAGCTCAACAGTCAGGCGAGCTTGGCTCGTGCAGGCCAGCTCAACAATCAGGCGAGCTTGACTCGTGCTGGCGAGTTAAGTAAACAGGTGGGGTTGAGTTCGTGCTGGCGAGCTTAACAATCAGACGAGCTTGACTCGTGCTGGCGAGTCAAACACACAGGCGGTTTAGCCTGTGACGGGGATGTTGATATCCGTGGACTACCTGGCAATCAGATCTGATCCAGAGCTTCGTCGATCCGCGAGGAGATCTAGAAACTTGAAGCGCCTATCTCGATAAAAACGAGATATTTACTCTTCTTAGTATTACCATAACGGGATAGAGTCGAGCTAGACATGCGGGTGATGTAGATCTGACGAAGAAACTCTCTTGTGTTGAAGTGCTCGATCACTCTTCACTCCGGCAGGGCTTCGCCAATTCTCCAAAATTCCAGATCTTAAAAAAATGAGGCCTAAGGCTTGTATTTATATGCTTGAGAGGATAACGGAGCGGTTAAAACCACCTAAAGGGCCCAAATCCGCGTTGGAGACACCCTAGGGAAGGCCTAAATCTGCCTTGGAGACACCCCAGGGTGTCTTGGCCTTAGCCGAGACACCGAAGGGTGTCTCGTTGGTCCGAGACACTCCTTTTGGTGTTTTCATCTGTTTCTGCTGTAATTCCTTCGTCCGGACTCGGATTTGAGTGATTCGAAGTATGTTGGAAAACCGACAAGGAGTTCTATCAGCTCCGATGGTTGGATCATCTATTGAATGAATGAGACACGGAGGGCGTTGTTCCTTTTGTAAACACCGCGGGGCTCTCGATTAGCCCGTACCTTCGTTATTCCGAAATTCTGTCGGCTCACGTAGTTTGTCGATTCACTTCAAGCGTTCACCGACGTCAATCGAACTCCTGTGAACCGGATAGTGACATTCATCGTCGTTCCTTAACACTGAACTGTTCGCGGAGACCTATAGGCAATTTTCGATGCCTACAGATACCCCCTCCAAAGCGTTCCAGACTCGTTTCTTTCATAGAAGAGGCTGGAATACTTTGGATATGATTGGTCCAGCCTTCAGTCAGCGTAAAGGACCTGCAGTTAGCTTCAACTCTTGACTCCTTTGATTTTCGGTCTATTCAATGCTTTGACGAATAGCCGAAGTTCTTCCGGCGCTGCGTTTATCGCCTGGCCGTCGTCGGAGTCTCGAGTCTATCACCGGTGAATTGGGTTTGACTCGTGTCATTGAGTTGACTTTGAATTGACTATCTCTATCATATTGTGCTGACTTAGGGTTTTAGATCACCGTATGTTGACTTTTGGTCGCAACGCATTGACTGGCGTTGACCTAGGGTTACGCGTTGACCCTAGGGTTTAGAACGTCGAATGTTGACTTTTTGTCGCAACGCGTTGACTGGCGTTGACCTAGGGTTACGCGTTGACCGGCTATGACCCTAGGGTTTCGAACGTCGAACGTTGACTTTTTGTCGCAACGCATTGACTGGCGTTGACCTAGGGTTACGCTTTGACCGGCGTTGACCCTAGGGTTTCGACCGTCGAATGTTGACTTTTTGTCGCAACGCGTTGACTGGCGTTGACCTAGGGTTACGCGTTGACCGGCGTTGACCCTAGGGTTTCGAACGTCGAATGTTGACTTTTTGTCGCAACACGTTGACTGGCGTTGACCTAGGGTTACGCATTGACCGGCGTTGACCCTAGGGTTTCGAGCGTCGAATGTTGACTTGTGTGGATTTCATCGAAACGTTCAAGCAATCGACGAAATGGGCGAAATCGGACTTCGAAATGGGATCCGGGGGCTCGAAATGGGCTGAGACACCCGGGGGTGTCTCAACTAGGGTGTCTCGGTTCAAGGCCGAGACACCCCCCCCTTTTTCCCTTTTTTTTTCTTTTTTCCTTTTTGGTTATTTCCTTCTTTTGCTTTCCTTCTTGTTTTAATTTTGTTTCCTCTTTTGTTTTCCCCCTTCTTTCCAAAATTTCAAAGGAGGTTCTTTCCCTCTCAAACTCTTTCTTCCTCCTTTCATCCCTCCACCATTGTTTCTTTTCTTTCAAGAATCCTTAACCCATTCAAACTCTCACATTTAAAACCTCAAATATCCACCAACTTCGGATTTTTATTTTCTCCTCCTTGGTTGGCCGAAAATCCCCTCTCTTCCAAGCTAGGGTTTCATCCTTCTCAAGCTCAAGAGAGGCTCCTTGGTTTTGGGTAACTCTTTTTTTTTTTTGACAAAGATCATAGCTTTTTATTCTCATAGGTTGGGTTTTGTGGAAAGATAGAATTTTTTTTTTTTTTTGACAAAGATCATAGCTTTTTATTCTCATAGGTTGGGTTTTGTGGAAAGATAGAATTTTTATGATGGGTTTTGGGTATGAACCAAAATTTGTTTCTCATAGGTTGGGTTTTGTGGAAAGATAGAATTTTTATGATGGGTTTTGGGTATGAACCAAAATTTGTTTTTTTTTATGTAAGACTTGCAATATAGCCGAAATTGGGGGGTTTTTTGTGCAAAAGAGGGCTAAAATTTGTAGGGGCCTTTATGCAAAATAAGACTGAAATTTTGAGGCTTGGACTTTAGACCCACTTGGCCACAACTTTGAGGGGTGCTTCATGCAAAAGACTACAAATTATTGAGGGTTTTATGTGCAAAATCGGCTAAATTTTACAAAAGGGTTTATTTGCAAAATTAACCACAATTGCAGGGTATTGGGGGTGTTGGATGAACACATATAATGACCATGACCCAATTCGAGCGTGTCCTTGACCCGAATTTAGCCTTGAACACGAGGGGTATTTTGGGTATTTCACCAAAATTTACCGCAAAATGACAATCATTGTTTTGTATGCACGAAATTTGTAGGTTTAATTGGACTTCAACTATAAAATCCTATTTATTCATAGGACTTTCGTTCAAGTTCTTAATTTCCCTTTTAAATTTTGTGTATTCATATTTTAAATTGTACCTGACTTGTTATTTTTCATTGCAGGTTTTCGATGTCTCCACGTCGACCTCGACCTCCTAGGAGTCGCTCCCGTTCACAGCCTAGCGAGGAAGAAGTTCCCACAACATCCTCCCCTCCAGCGGCATCCTTTTTCGGGGGTAAGAATCTTTATTTCTGTATCCCTGATTGATCCCTTCGCGGGTCATTAAGGAAGGACCGACATCCTCCTTCGTGGGGATTGAGGTTTCAGGATATTGGTGGTTCTGTTACACCTTCGTTTGGCCCCTTCGCGGGTCATTCGGGAAGGGCCGACACCCTCCTTCGCGGGGGTTGAGGTTTCAGACTTGTTTTGCTTAGCCAATTCAAGTCTTCTGGTATATTGGGGCGATCTTGCGTCGTCTTACACCTTGTAGGTCGGTGTATGTTACCACGTCATCTACGTGATGATGCATACCGTTCTTCCAGTGTAGGACACCCAAAATCGTCTCTCCAATTACCCCGTGAATGATTTTATCTCGCTCTTTATGAGATGGATTTAATTCATGGATGATTTTCTGACTCTATCCTTGTTTTGTTGCAGTCGAGTTCCCCACGGGCAGTCTCCCTCCTCATGCCACTACTGGTTGTAGCAGGGAAGTCTTTTCTTCGGCTTCCATCAGGCAGGCTATTGGTCCACTCCCTCAGTTTGACAGAGATCGCTCCGATGAATCCTGTCGTTTGATACGGGATGGAGGGCTTCATTGCTTACGCCAGCTGATTACGGATGCTTCTTTTACTGCGGATTCCGTTTCTACTCGGGCTTTAAAGAAGCCTAGTTTTCTGTTTGGAGATCATATTGAGGATCCTGCTAAGTTAATTCTTACCGAGGAGCATTGGCTGAATCTTGATGAAGGAGCTCTCCTGTATATTCCCTCCATTCCTCGTCAGTGTTCTTTCATTCATTTAGAGGGACAGGCCGTAGAGAGACAGATGCCCTGGCGTCTTACTGAAGATGCTAATCGAGTTCAGTGTGGATATACATCCCAACATAAGACTCCTGGTTCTATTGGGTATCATTACATCCGCGGTCTTCGATCAGGGATTATGGGTCTTAATACTGCACCCCCAGGCGAGGTATCAGCAGCCGCTCCTACCGTGAAGAACCGTCTGGCTCATCTTGGGAGGAGATTACCTCCACCAGACTTTAGATGCTATGATTGGGCTTTCTCACAACCCAAGGCATGGTGGACACGCATGACCAGTTACGTCTTAGGGCGCTGGGAGAAGGATTTGAAGAGCAGTAGATTATACTCACCTATACGAGCCACCATGTATGGGCTGCCAGTCAGCTGTCGCCATTTCTTGGCATTGTTGGAGACATACATGCCCGACAGTAACACATTCCTGACCAGCGGCGGAGAGTTAGGGTTGGCCTTGCATGAGATGTATCAGGTTTCTGGCCTTCCGATGGGGGACTGTCCATACCAGGAGTACTTTCCCTCGAACTAGCAATTGGAGTGGTTGAAGAAAGATGCTCCCGATATGTACGATACTCTTTGGGACCTCACCTGCCATTATCATACCTCTCTGATCACGGTTTCTACTCAAGCAAAGAGGAAAAAGCAGATCAGCTTGAAGCAGTTTGCTGTCTATTTGTTCCAGAATTTGGAGGGTGATTCTAGCGAGCTCATTCGTGAGTTAGATGTTCTGACACCTACCGCCGTTAATGAGTTGATGGAGAAGGCTGAGGCTCGTTCTTACACCATTGCCAGTGCTGAGGGAGCTTTTCCTGCAGGAACCAAGTTTCGTTCGTTCTTTCGCCGTGCACAGAAGTCCATTGAGCCCCGGACTCTGCTAGCAGGCTATCTCGCCCTCTGGTTGAAGAAGTGCGTCATTCCGTATCAGCAGTCAGACGCCTTACCTCTCGAGGTGCTCTTCCCTGCAGTCCAGCTAGCTTATAGGATGGATCTTTCCCTGCTCCCAGCAATGGTTGCTGACATTCATTGTGGGCTTAGGTATCTGGTCAACGGTTTTGAGCAGGTGGGTTCTGAGCCGTCGACTGAGCTTATTTGTGTGAAGGTCGAGCTTCCTTATGCGTATCTGATGGCGTGGGGTTCTGAGCCGTCGACTGAGCTTATTTGTGTGAAGGTCGAGCTTCCTTATGCGTATCTGATGGCGTGGATCGTTCTTCACCATCCTGACTTGATGTCTGCGCCCAGCATTGTTGATGCCCCTGTTCCTTTCGTACAGCTGTTGGAGAGGAGCAGATGGCTCGGGAAAATATTCAGTGATGTACAACGAGAGCTTCGAGTTCGTAAGAGCTGGGAGTTCTTCAAGTGTTTTCCTCGCTTTTCGGGCCGCTATGGTGATGTGCTGATTGATGAGGAGAAGCCCAGAACTAATCGGACTGCTCTCGACGTTGGTTGTTTCCGCTGGTTGGTGAACATCCGCGTCGGGTATCTCGTTCTTCGGGTGAAGAACCGCTGCCACATAGAGCCTTACCTCCCCAGCCGTTTTGCTCGTCAGTTTGGCTACGACCAACTATATGTTGGGAATCCGAGCCGTGGTTTGAAGATTGAAGGAGGGCTTATTGACGGCGTTCGGGCATGGCTATGGACCATGGTGGGCTGTACGGGAGCCCAGTTTGCTCTTCCTTCATCCAGACGCAAGCCGTTGATCACTTTCCTCAGTTGCAAGTGGTTTCTTTCTGCCAATGAGTCCATAGGTGTAAGGAGTCTTTCAGAGTTGCAGTCTGAGCACTTGGTTCAAGTCACTATGATGGCTGCTCGTAAGGCTGAGCTTGCTAAGAAACAGGGGAAGAAGCCTGCCAAACATTCCCTCTCGAGCAGAGACAGGATGGATGACGATGAAGAGCTCCTTCCTATTGATGATGAAGACGAGACTTCTGAGGAGGAGTATGTGGATATAGATACTGACCAAGAAGAACTTGATGCAGGTTTGTCATGCTCTTTAACCTTCTTTCTCAACTTCAATTGGTATCAACGAAAGGTCTTTTTCACTCGTCCTAACGAAATGACTCTTATCACCCCAGGTAGGACAGTCGATGAGCACGAGTCGCTCGCTGCTCGTTATGTGAGATCCAGGCCTAGCGGCAAAGCTCCTACACGGGTTGAGACACGTGGCAAGTTCGTGCACGAACGGCCCGTTGGTTCTATGAGGGCTGGTGCTCCGAAAAAGAAGAAGACCGCTCATAAACCATGCGTTGGTCGGTACCCCTACGGAGTGGATTTAGGAGACATCGCCGACGGAGAGGAAGGTAATATTCTATTGCTTTAAGATGGTTTACCTTCTGGGATTCGTAATCATGTTTTATGTTCCAGGGTACTATGACGAGGGCGAGCTTCCACCGGACCCCGTATTCCCTAGTTCTGATAATATGGATAGCTTCATGCAGCAAATATGTGACACCATTCGTAACGACTCCATGGACGTTGATACTGAGCAGGTGAATAGTGTTGAGCCCACCATTCCATGTTCAGGTATATCTACATCCGATGATACCCTCCTCGAGTAATATTTAGAAGAGTTAGGGAACTCATGATTCATTATTTTTTGTGCTTCGCTCTCTTTCAGATTACTTGAAGAATCCAAGTATGGATATTGGGGAAAAAGAATCTTCTGTTCCTGGTGCAGGTATTTCTGAGCTTTTTCTTCTTTCCCATCTTCTTGTATATATATCCAACACATAAATTATTCTGCAGATGTCGTGGTAGAAAAGCCAGTTGAGGATCAGACCTTTCATGATGTAGGTTTCGAGGAACAGGGGTGTGCCTCTGCACCAAGTTTCTCGGGACCCGACATCGGATTATTTGTCGACATGCTGGCTGAACAGGCATCCAGAGGAGCTGTGGGACCACCCTTTGAGAGTGATTCATTCACAGGTATATATCTGATTCCCTTCATTTTGTCTGATCTTTTGTTTGACTAACGAAGGATTAATATTACAGTTCCGGTCACCAGGACTGATTCAATAATGATGCCCGGCATATCTAGTTTACCTCGGAGTGACAGACCCACAGGTATGCATACAATCTAGGGCGTCATACTCCTTTTCATTTGTCTGATTTTTCTTGACTAATAGATGGGTGTAATCATAGGACCGGTCACTGGGACCGATACTCTTATGACTCCTGGCATTCCCCGTGTACCTGAGGACGGTGGACTTGCAGGTATGCAAACGATCTTATCATCCCGATTCTCCTTATTTGTCTAAACTTCCATTTTGACTAATAAAGAAGTGTAACTATATGCCTACAGGGGTTGATATACCCTCCATGACTACTCCTGCAGTTATTTCGGAACCTGTCGGATCTCAGCCCGAGGGGACCTCCGTTGACGTTGGTATGCTCGGAATTTGCCTTTAAATTTTCTTATCGTATTCAATAATTTCTTAGCTTTCTACACTGTTTCTTGTAGGATCTCGATCATCTCTATATGAGCATGTTCGCGCCCTCTTGGCCGATACCGATCCAGACAGAGACATTTTCCGTACAGACCTCGGCTTTTTTTACTGCCTTTTTTAACGACATGATCGAGAAACTGCTTCATTGAGGATATTGTTTTGATCAGTTCAGGCGTTCCTTTTCTCGTCACATGATGATGTTTATAGAAGAAGGATATCCGGAGTTGGCTGATTCCTTCATTGCCGATTTTGCTGCTCTGGAGTCGGAGATCCGAGAGTTAAAGGAATTGAAGGCTAATGGAGCTTCTTCCTTCGTGTCCACTCAGATGGAGCATAGGCTGGCACAGTGGCGCGACCTGAGATCTTCCATCGGCAGTGAGCTTCAGTCATATGAGCATTCAGTTGCGCAGCTGATGGCTACCGTGGCGAGGAAGGATACAGATAGAGCCGAGTTACTCCGCTCTTTGGATTCCGGCCGCGAGGAAGTGGCTAGGTTGAAGGAGGCCTTGAAGCACGCCGATGAGTCCGTTACTATTATTGCAGAAGACCTGGCTGGAGTAGAGCATTCTCGTGGACAGGCCCTCGAGAAGCTAGGATCTACACAGGAGAGATTGATGAAGCTGAAGAATGAAGCCGTGAAGATCTTGAGCAGTTCTGAAGAATCCGTCCGAGCTGGCCTGCAGGCAGAACTTGAGCAGAGTTATATAGATAGGCTTTCTAGCTTAGAGTCTCATGTTCTTAGCCGTCAGCTGCCTTTGGGCTAACGAGCTTTTTATTGTATGCTTTGACTTTATCTATTAATAGAGACTCCGCATTTGATTCGGTTATGATATTTGTTTATTTATTTTGACCTTAGCGATGATAATATTTACGGGATTTTTGGCAAACCCCCAGCCATCAACGGGTTTGACATGCCTTTACTGATTACCGTTTGAATCGGGCTAGCATGTGAATTATTAAAACCCGTCTCACATGTAACGTTGTGCTAAGAAAATCGCTTTTCTTAGACTTGATGCTATGATTTTGAATACATAGACTTAACCATTTCTTATAGGGAAAATGTAGCCTGCACCTCGTATTAGGCGATGACTTATCCCTTCTTAGGTTTCGGGATAAAATTCCCCAGGTTTAGACCCTGGTGTCTTTTTCAATCGGCGAAAGACTAAACCGGCAATGTGTGTTAGACATAGACTTTGGGATTTTTGGCAAACCCCAGCCTTCAACGGGTTTGATGTGCCTTTACCGATTACCGTTTGAAATCGGGCTAGCATGCGGATTGTCTGAATCCGTTCCGCATGTAACGTTGTGCTAAGAGAGTGAATTCTCTGAGACTTTGTGCTATGATTTTGAATATATAGGCTTCGCCCTTGTTACGGGAATAGGCTACCCGGCAACACGTATTAGGTGAAATTCCCCAGGTGTAGACCTTGGTGTCTTTTTTAATCGGTGAAAGACTAAACCGGCAACGCGTATTAGGCGTAGACTTATCTCTATTTAGGAGTTGAGATAAAATTCCCCGTGCACCAAGTGCCCGGATTGGAAGTTGGGAATTGTGTCTTTTATCAGAACAAAGACGGACTGGAAAGCGGGAGAGAAAGAATTTCATATTCTATCTCCCGGGACTGAAAAGGAAGAATTTTATATTTTATCTACAGTCGGAAAGGAAACTCAAGGTGGGATCTCCACCCCCAGACTCCGAAAAGATGAAACTAAGAGTGGGATCTCCACTCCGAGAATCGGAAAAGTTCAAACGGCCCTAACTTTTATAGGATTGGTCATTTGAATCAAAAGAATCCCTCATTTATTGAGGAGAAAGTCCAATTTTGACCCTAACTTTTATAGGTTTGGTGGAAAAAGAACAAAAGCAGATTTTCGTTTATCAAAAAAGGCATGACTCGGTCTTAGTCCTAACTATCTGTAGGTTTGACTAAGTGAGATTGGGAACAACCCTAACTTTTATAGGTTTGATTGTCCGAATGTGGACCTCTCGTTCATGGAAGGAATCGAGAGGGGACTTTGGTTGTGGCCCTAACTATAGGAAGTTTATAGGTTTGACCAGAACGCAAAGAGAGTGGAATACGGGTAGCAAAGAAAGTGCCAACTCGTATTATCACTCAGAGAAGGACTTTAACGCTAGGTGATTAGGACCTAACATGTTAAGTCTGAGAATTGCCAATGACTGGCGGACAGAAATTTTGGTGAATCCACCGTCGATTAGTTTGATCAGCAGATGGTTTGGTGAGGAAAGATTAACCTATCAGAGGATTGGATCTCATCTCACAAAAATAACTCATAAGAGTTAGAGAATTTTGATAATAAGAAGAAACGTTCCAATATTCTGAATTCGAACAAGAATTTCTTATTCATCACTTCTACAATGATTGGGTTATCCCTAAGAATACTTCATATGATGTTCTTCTGGGAACTTCCCGATACATTGGTTATCCTGAAGATACTAATGATAGTATTTTTTCAGGAACTTGCCATTTATCGGCATCATAAGCCGGTCGCCGTCCTTGGTGACTAGACGATATGCGTCACTCGAGTAAACAGTCTCCACTACGAATGGTCCCTCCCATTTGGGTTTAAATTTGCCCTTCTTCTTGGAGCTAAGGATCATAGGCCACCTTTCAGCTAGAACCAAATCCCCTTCTTTGAAACTCCGTTGTCGAACCTTTTTGTCGAAAGCTCGAGAGATTCTGGCGTGGTAGAATTCGATATGTTGTTGAGCTTCTAAACGCTTCTCATCTAGCCTTTATAGTTCTTCAAGGCGCTTCTGATGTTGCTCTTCGGTCGTCATTTGAGTCGCGAGGGTAATTCGAAGTGACGGGATTTGAATCTCCAATGGAAGAACGGCTTCACATCCGTATACCAGTGAATACGGGGTTGCTCCCGTCGGTGTGCGCACCGTGGTCCGATAGGCCCATAGAGCCACGCCAAGCTTGTCATCCCAGTCTCGTTTATTAGTTTTCACAAGTTTTGATAACAGCTTCATGATAGTCTTGTTGAAAGCTTCGGCCAATCCATTCGCTGTGGGATTGTAAGCTGTCGAAGAGATGTCCTGAATTTTGAACTTTTCACAAAACCTGATGAAGGCGTTGCTGACGAATTGAGGACCATTGTCATGTATGATTCGTCTTGGGACACCATGCCGGTAGATGATATGGTGCTTGATGAATGCAATGACGTTGCTCGTTTTGACTTCTCTGAGAGGAACCGCTTCAGCCCACTTGGAGAAGTAGTCGGTAATCGCCAGGATGAACCGATCACCTTTGACTAACGGGGGATTTATAGGACTGACGATATCCATTCCCCAGGTCTCAAATGCCCACGACGTAACCGAAGGATGTAGATGCTCCGGAGGTTGATGCATATAGTTCGCATGTGTTTGACATGCATGACACTTTCGGGCATACGCGATTGCATCACTCATCATGAAAGGCCAAAAGTATCCCATTCTTCTGATGCGGTCATAAAGCTTGGGGCCAGGTTGGTGTGCGCCACACTCTCCTTCATGTGCCTCTCTAAGGACTTCTTCGGCTTCTTTAGTTGATAAGCAACGTGCTAGCAACCCATCATACCCCCTACAGTATAGCGTTCGATTCTCCGTATTATAGTAGAATCTTGGCGCTCTTCGTCGGATTGACTCTCTTTCCTTCATGTCTTCTGGTAGGATTCCATGTCAACTTGAGTTGAGTGTGCTTCCTTGCTATCTTCTTCTTCGCTATCTTCATTGTAGATCGGCTCTAGGAGTTGGTGAGTCCTCACTGTAACAAACTGTTCTGTTTCAGGAGGTTGTGCCAGAGATACGGCCAATGCTGCTAACGTATCTGCGTAAGTGTTCTGTAACCGTGGAATATGTTCGATAAAGAATACTTCGAATGATTCTGCTATCTCTACTGCCATCTTATGATATGGTATTAAATCCTGGCTTCGGACCTCGTACTCTCCCTGAACTTGTTTAACTATCAGTTGAGAATCACTGAAGGCTTCAAGATATTCAACCCCCAGTTCTTTAGCGAAACTGAGTCCTATGAGTAATGCATTATATTCGGCTACGTTATTTGAGCACGTTTCGGTCAACGAATAAGCTCGAGGCATAACGTGTTTTCCTGGGGAAACTAAGACAACTCCAACTCCGGAAGAAATCTTAGGACTTCCAGGAGCACTCGCTACATTAGTTGCTTGAAGCGCCGCGTCGAAGTACAAACACCATATTTGCTGGTGCGAAGTTGCGTTGACTTCATGGGTCTCATCAGGTAGGTCGTCATATATCTCGGCGGTATCCGTAGTTGGATTAGCTGCCAGGAGATCACAGATGGCTTGTCCTTTTACCGACTTCTGTTGTTTAAAATGTAAGTCGTATTGGGACAAGAGTAAGGCCCACTTTGCTAATCGCCAATTCATGAACACTGGCTGAGTCATGAACACTCGGACTAGGTTAACCTTAGAGATAACATAAATGGTCTGTCCAACCAGATAATGCCGCATCTTCTGAATAGCGAACACCAAGGCGAGGCATTCTCTCTCAATCATAGGATATCGAGATTCAGCGCCTACCATGGTCTGGCTTAAATAATATATCGCCTGTTCGTGACCGTTATCATCATCTTGTGCAAGTAATGCACTTAATGAGTGGCTCGTTGCCTTGACATAAATCAAGAACGGTTTGCCTGATTTCGGTGCGATGAGCACGGGAGGTTTTGAAAGATATTCTTTAATACTCTCGAATGCCTTTTGACAAGCGTCGTCCCACACGAATGATACGCCCTTCTTTGTGAGCTTGGAGAATGGTTGGCATTTTCCTGAGAGGTTCGAGATGAACCGACGGATATACGCTAACCGCCCTTGCAATCCTCTGAGCTCCTTGAGGTTTCTCGAAGGCTGCAATTCATTAATTGCCTTTACCTTATCAGGGTCGATATGAATACCTTTGGTAGTGACGAAAAATCCCAGGAATTTACCACTGGACATTCCGAGGAAAGACTTGGTAGGATTCATTTTCAATTGGTGGGTACGCATCAGATCGAACATCGTCTTCAAGTCTTTGATGTGATCCTTCTTATCGCGACTTTTCATGACCAAATCATCCACGTAACATTCGACAGTTTTTCGGAGATG